ATTAGATGCCATGCCATTGAAAAATAGTGTTATAAAAATATACTGTTTCACGAACACTATAGCAGACATGCATTCAAACATTAARAACCTATAAAATGATTATCCAACAACTTTAAAGTTAAGATCCAATTTCCCCCCAAACCAATGGGTATAAAGAGCAAACAAGAGTGCAAACACTATACCTGTATCTGTGTTGTGAATACTATACAATTACACTGCAGTATTAATATATAGAGCGATATATATCTTTAAGAAATGAAATAAGTCATTAAAGTTGAAAGCCAGTTTTCAACCCCACAATGGTTTTGTTGTTATCTACACTTTGAACTAAATATTACATTGTAGCTATACCAAACAAGGCCAACCAGACAAATTTTCATACAATGAGTATCAGGAGTGAACGAATAGCATTTCAAACTCCAAAGCTATTCAAGATCCCCACAGCCTCAAAAATTTTATTTGTGATTCCCTCTTGAAATTTGTCTGTGTGGGCCTAGTTAAGGTAGTAAAACATGAAAAAAATTATAAAATTATAACATTATAAAATACAAAAATAATAAAACTAAAAACAAAAATTAAAAAATCTAAGACCTCAAAGTTGATATCCAATTTTCAACCCCAATGGGTAAAGAGCTGTGGTGCTTTTCTAAAATTAAATGTTCAAAAAAATAAATAAACGTTTTTGCTAACACCAATAGGGTAGCTTGCATTAAACGAGTAATAACTACCTGTGAGAGTTAAAACTGCGGTAGCTATTTTATTTTCTGGCTTAAAATTGCATACCACCATGGCTTCAGCAGCGATGCATAGTGACTGAACRTCAATAACTGTGCCAGTTGAAATCAGCCTTGGTGATGTTGTTTTGTTTATTTCATCTGCAACTTCTTCATCCTCCTGCAAAAGATTTAAGCAAATGCATGGATTGAGTGTACAGGCAGGTGAAAAACAGTGCTATTAGGGTTCGGATAACACCTCTTTCAGACTTCAATGGTCAAGTTACATCATAAATTATCCATACCCACCCCACAGAAGAATTTGGAATTTCCGAAGAGTGGGTGGGTCAGAGAAAGAACAAAAATTACAGGGTTTGTACGGAAGAAAATTGGAATTTCCGGGGGGTATGGGGGTGTCTTAAAAAAATTCCTCCGTGAGGGGGGTATGGATAATTTTTGGAACTACATAATATGCATATCAAAAGAAGCATTTTCTGAAATCATCAAAATTAAAAGAGTATGTATTGGTTTGATAATGAAAGGCTTGGGTAATCATTTTCAGAAACAAATAAATGTACTTGGCCTATCAAGATGTCTTCACCTAYACAAATATATATATCATTTTGCATAGCAGAAAATACTCACTTCAACAATTTTCCAAAATKTTTCTCCTGGAAAATTTGAACTGGTCTTTCTTTCTCCAAGTGCATATGGCAAGGAAGCCATCACACATCGCATTTCCATTTCTAAATAACAAAGTTTAAAATTAATTATAACCTTTTGTATATAGTATCTAAATCAACTCTTAATTATTTAATTTTGTTGATTCACAATTTAAACACAAAAAACGTTGTAAAATGAAGGGCATAGGTGGGAAAATGTTTGCCTAAATTGTCCCTTACCCCCTRCTCAATAATTATCGGTATTGATTCTAAATTAAGTAAATAGTTGAATWGCAAAAGATTTTTTGTTATTTGAGTGATGCATCTTGGATATATCAAGGTTTAAACTTCCAATATGCTAATGATCATGATGTCATAGRGGCATTTGAGTTTATTTGTCATAATTTGAAATTTGAAAATTATAGCACTGATTGCYATGAGAAAACAAATTAGCTATGAGAAAATAAATTAGCATTGTTTTATACAGCCTATTGTACAGGCGGAGAAAAGTTTTGTATATTAAATATTGCTTCAACKATTCACCTCAGGTAGAATCAATACAAAAAATATYGAGTCTTTAATAGGGATGAGGGGCACTTTAACAGTARATAAAGATAAAAAGGGTGAAGGCTGGAAACACTAGTATCTACTTAATAAAGGGGGTCTGATGAATAAACTAAGGTTATCATATGAATTTTAATCATATAGGCATTACCAGTTTCATCACTGGAGTCATGGTCGTCCAGCAAGGACAAAATATCTTTGATTTCTTTTTTGCTTGTTTTTCGCAATGCAGCCAGCATAGCTGGTCTGTTTATGTTCAGGTTTTGTCTTAGGTCTTTCATTTTGACCTCACCAAGAATTCTTTCAAACTCAGCTTTTACCTATAAATATCAATCAAAAAAAATCATTTTAAGGTTACTAGAATGTATGTAAAGTACTTTATGTCCAAATTCAGAAAAAGATGTACAAATTCAGAGGTTTAAAAGTCAAGTAGTATTAGACCTGATAAAACATGATCTTTAAGTTCACATTAATAATCTCTTTCATAAACTCATGAATAATTAATAAAGCAATATGTAATGATGCATTTGACACAGGAGCAATATTGTGTATATATATCTCAAGCRTGTTAAGGCTTGGTATTTTACTGGTTTGTTGAAAAAACACATTTAGTTTAATCTTAAGMTTCTGAAATGGAGTTTTAGACTTCAAGTGATTTTTCAGTTTCTCAAAATTTTAAGCATGTTCTTTTTGACTTCCGGTAGTCATGTGACCTTAAGGAGAGCAAAACAGAAATTTCAAAATGGGCTGGTGGTTTTCGTATAAATCAAAAATATTTTTATTTGAAGTTGTTAAGTACATTGACCTTAACAAGAATCTGTCCGGAATAGGTGTCCTTCGTTTTATGCTAAAGGGATAATTGACAAAACAGGTCACATGACCGAGTCAAAATATTGAATATTCTTATTTTTTGCCTTAACTAAGAATGATTACCAACAATTCTGGACAGGTTCTTGTTAAGATTATTGTACTTAACAATTTCACATTGAAAAATTTTTGAGTCACATAAAAACCGCCAGCCCATTTTGAAATTTCTATTTTTATCGCCTTAAGGTCACGTGACCACAGGAAGTYGAAAAGAACATGCTTAAAATTTCAAGAAACCTAATTATGATTTTAGCCCCAACTCTCAATTTCATAGCTTTAAAATTAATAGAGTTATTGCAGAAACATAGTTTTTCAGCGATCCATTAAAAGACCAAGCCTTAACATGCTTGAATATGGGTAACTATAATAATGGTGGTCAATGGTTAGTTGGTTATCATGTGCAACACTCTTTTATGAGGCTCGAAGTATTCATAAACTTGGATATGTGAATGAAGAAGAGTATATCAATTTGTATAAGGGTGTTTACACAACACAAATTGATCAAAAGTATCATTCATGAGTTTTTGAACATATAATATATAAATTGAAAAGATATAGTTATGCTTGCCTCTTGTCCCTTGTTTTCTTGAAATGGTGGATACTCTTTTAAGACCTCCCAAACTCGCACATTTCCAACCAGGATGTCCCTTCTGCGTAAACAGTAGGTTCCATCCATGAGCTGTTTCATCTTAGCCCTGTCTGAACTTCCTGTTTTACACAGCTCTTTAATATCATTCTTCATCTTGTTTATGCTTTCTGTGGTCTCTCCCTCTGGTATAGCTGGTACAGCAGAGTACCATCTATTCAGAGCCTTTTTCTTTCGGCCAGGCTTGCCTTTTATGACCTCACCACTTTCGTCTTGATATTTTTTTCTTTCTGGTCGAGAAGCTTTTCGCTTCAGGTTTAGCAACCTTTCTTTGATTTGTTTGGAGCAAAATTGCTAAGAGAGAAAGTATATAAGAAAGAAATTTAGCTATGTGATCGATTGACTGCGATTTCAATCTGCAATTATTCTAATTCCATAAAATAAAGAAAATCAGCATAAATTTGGGTAGTATTTGTGATTTAAAAACTTTTTCATGGTTTCCCGCCCAACCCAATAGTTAGGAATGCAGCCACCTTAAGTGGAAGCCCTTGGGATTTAATTGTTGGTCATGGATGCAACATACACTGCTGTACTTACATGGCCTGAACCAAATGATCCACTCAAGAAGGGATACTTTTTGACCAGTAAGATAGCAATGTGATCCCTCTCAGCTTGTTTGGGGCTGTCAGTATGAGTAAGGATCATTGTACATAACTGTCGTGTCATTGCACTCTTCTCATCAGGTGTCAAGTGTTTTTTCCCTAATCCATCCTCAACTGCAGGATCCCAAACATCAAATAAATGTAACTGGAATTTAAACATCACTTTTTAAATAATGATATCATTAATTGAGCCTACTTAAAAAGGAATGTATATATCTATATATTTTACATATAACAATGAACCAAACTGATAACCATTATCGCACACATGTAGTTAATGTAAAAAAAACATTTATTACTTTTCGCTCTAAGTTGTGGTACAATATGATAATTACGTCCATGAAATCTTTTAGGTAATCAACACTGTAATTTACGTGATAGAAAATCCCTTAAATATTGAAGCCCAGGCCTCAGTTTAACTTTTTGACTCATACAGGACATTGCAATATCACTTAAAATATTTTTTGTACCACCTGTTGCTAAAATAGAAGCCCTCTTAACTAAATAACCCAAGGAATATATATCAGTATTAATACTTTGCTTAGATCTGACATGCACTAGCTCTGGATCTAAATTCTTATGCAATATTAGATACTTCTCTTTCTCCTCTTTACTGTTAAGGTTGTAATAAATGCCTTTGGCAGACTGACAAGCTTTGCCAAAATCTATAATAACTGCATTATAATGACTCTTACCATCCATTTCAATCATAACATTGTTTGTTTTTATATCATTATGGGTGTACCCTGATAAATGTATGGCTTGAAGACCCTTCACAACTGACAATATAATGTGTTCAGTTGAGCAATAATTATTTGTTTTGTGACCTCTGATAAGGCTCTCTAATGTGGTGCTCTTGTCACATAATCCTATAAATTTTGTGACAAAAATGGAATATCTCCAAGACAGACACCCAAGAGCAAAGGTAAACTATCATGGTATTTAAGTGATAGCAAAGCAATTCAACCTTTTGGTATTGTAAATAGAAATGGAGCTTGTTATGTTGCACCAAGATATAGCGTACCTGCAGTTTAGACTGATATTTCACTGAATAAAAAGCATTCTCAATTCAACCAAATGCCTGATACCGATAAGTTTTACATATTATATAACATTTTGTTTTAGTTCTTTTGATATGTTTAGCTTGGTTACATGCAATATCACGCATTTCAGTATATAAATCGCTATATTAACCATAAAGAATAAGTATTCATAATTATCGGACGTACCACGAAACACGTAAAATAATTACTCTCTCTCTTTTGCTTCCTTATATGGGCGTAGGAATCCTACAATATTCCTACGGTGACGTCATTTTCCTACCAATTATTTGCCTGACTAGACTGGATGTACTGATCGGAGATGCAAATAATTAATAAGTGTTCTCTCCGTAGTTTTACATTTATTAGAGATCGATTCTGGATCATTTCAGATGTGAGTAGATTGAAGTCTTTATTTCATACTGTTTGAAAGCTGTTTTAACAATCATGAAAATACGACGGCTGAAATCTCTTCAGAAAAGAATTGAGTCGTTCAATATTCAGTTAAACC